TCTTGTAACGGCATTGTTCGTTGAAGTAGTCTTGTATATGTTGACATATTGCATCGTAAGTGAATCCAATTTCTGGAATTGAGCATTCTCCTTCAATATCTGATGCAAATGTCTTCAACTGAGTCTTCATTTCGGGAGTGTTAAACTTTGGAAAATTTCCTGCTCCCCATTTTTGAGTTGCTAGCAAGCCAACTTTTTTACGTCTGTGTGACAAACGTTTTAAAGTTACTGATCACATATTAACCATAGAAAGCTCAGTTTTTCAATATCTGACCATCTATTACACCTCTGCTCCTCCAATTAAAAATCTTTGTATCTAGGAAGAATATTATTAGTTCTTATATGCCAGAAGAGGGTTTCCCTTTATTCATTACTGGTCTTGGCTCTAAGTCCAAACAGAGTTACACTGCAAATGAAAATAAACACCACCCTATAACCAATACAGGCCGGCTCCATTATATTAAACCAGGTTGGTCTATTTGCGACAAATTACATTTAGTAAGAAATGGTGATTCTATGAAGTGTTAAGTGTTAGCTACCATAGAGTATTGATAAAAGATCAACATACTTTGACAGATACAGCCTTTTCATTTCTGGGTTAAAACCAGACATTTCACCCATTGTTGGTTTAAGTCGTGGACTGGAACTGAGTTGACGAACTGGAACTGTGTTTGAGAACTCTGTCTTAAATCGTACAGCTGATCCATATTTTAGTCCAAGGTTTCTGAAAATGCTGGCATCCGCTTCTCTTTTAAGAAGATCCGCAATTGCTGAGAAGTGTGTTATTTCCTCATCTAGGCGTGAAACACACAAGGAAAACTTTGCAACCATAACTCATATTCAAATAATGCATGTCTCAATGTGAAGTCAGTTGGGTGAGGGGATAAAGCAGAGCATAGAAAATTTTGTCATTCATGTACAATTTGGCAGCTTAGGACTGGGATTTTTTATTACTATTTTTTCAATATGTTTTTTAAATCTTACAACACAAAGAGAGTGACTTCCATGATAGAATTATGCAAACAAAGACAGGTTTCCATGCTTGTTCGGGAACAAAATGCAACACTGAATTGAATGGGATGCAAACTACATCTGGAAGGGGGTATTTTGAATAGAAGAACGCCAAATACATGGCTGCCGAAAACCGAGTGGCTCTTTGTGGCTCTTTATTAATTAATTAACCCATTAAGCACCAGCCGTTTTCATAGGCTTTCTAAAATTCGGCAAAATATTTCCAACCCCATGTGCAGTAAAAATACAGAACTTACCGCGCAAAAAGAACAACACCCCTTTGGTCTAAAACAGTTAAAATCACTTATTATCTTCCGCTTAAACTACTTAAACTTTCTGGGAGTTTCTTTATGAGCTTACCCTCATCGCCGAAAAGCTTTCTAACGCGGTCGATGATAACGTCTTTCTCCTGTAACTCCTGTATTTCTGAAGACTCTGACATCCTCAACAACTTTTAAAATTGAATTTGCCGTCAATATACAACAGCTCAAAGGCTAATTGTCTGGACTTACTTAGACAGCCACCACCAAAAAGGAATGAATTGAAGCTTGCTTTCCTATTTTACCCTTCAGCTCCGGTTGTTTGCGCCGTTTTGGTACAATTTCATAAAACGGAATGCGCTACTGGTAGCTATCATTGATACGTCACGATAAGAAATATACTGGCTTCTTTGATTGGCTAACTGATTGCCTTGAGGAGAATGGGTCCAATGCTTAGTAGCCGTGTCTGCGTCTCAAAATGGCGGACTCTTCGAGCGTGAAAGCTTGGTCGAGGGAAGACATATCTGCTTGTGACTGCGGTGCAAGAACATACCGGCATGTTCACTGCCCTTGTTTTCGATGTCAAGGAAGTGCGACCGATAGAACTACCAAGTTACGGCACTGGAGAGAAAACTGCCTGATTGCTACTGGGGTTGGAAGTGACAGCACTTTGGACAGCTTGGCAGACATTGATAGTGATCCTGAATCAATTGCAAGGCCGAGCTCATCACCAAGTCCTTCAACTCCAGGAGCAGATAAACTTGATGACAGTCTTAGCGAAGGATCAGACGAAAACAGTCCTAATCCCATCTGCCCAGAACTTGAAGCAGCTGTTGAAGCTGTGGAACGTCAAAGTACGGAACCACTCAACCCTCTCCAAAAAATTATTCTTACAGCAGTTCTTGACGCTCTGAAAATTATGGATGAAAGTGGATCATCTGTTAAAACCTTTGATGACATTCTGAGCTATGGAAAAACAATGTTGTACACTTTAATTGATGGCAATGTTGACCTTGATGTTTTGAGTACTGTGTGGCCCAAAAATTGGAATGATGTTCAACTTTTATTGAAGGAAGAAGGTTTTGAAGACGCTAAGGAATATATCGTATGTTTTTGTCGTACTGAAAAGGTAATTACAAGAAATGGTAAAACATATACCAAATTTGTTTACAGTGGAAATTTCAGCATCATGGATAGCAAGGGTGCTTGTTGTACTCACTGTGGAAATAAAGGCTATCTCAAATATTACTATTTGGGATTGGAAAGTAAGATTAAAAACTGGTTCAAAACAGAACCAATGTGCAAAAAAATGCTCTCTCATTTGAACGAAAGAGAACACTGACTTGGTAGAGAGGAAAGTTGGCCACTAAAGCAAGAGTTTTGGGATGGTCAACGGTGGATAGATCTTCAGTGGTTTTGGGACCCGAGCAAGATTTGGCCACTTCCAACTGTCTGTGTTCATTGTAGTGCCATAATTTCTGTGGATCATTTGACTACCTCCACTGAGGGAATTGATAATTTGAAGATTGTGACATGCCCTGGATGCTTTGAAACTTTTCACCATTCTATGAAAATGGCAAGAAGTTCCCCATTGAACTTGGCCCTCATAGGCCACTGGGATGGGTGGCAAGCATTTGGAACAAGTTTCAGAGGATGTGGTTCCATTGAAGTTTCCATCGCTAACATGAAAAAGACTGATCGGTGTCATGTTGACGAAGTGTACGTTGTTGGCTTTGTCCCTTGTTCTGACCTACCTAAGGATTTACCAGAGTATTTAGATCCTTTTCTCAAACCACTTATGGATGATCTTTGTAACGGATTTCTTTCGGGTTACAACATTCCTTATCCTCTACAGTTTACAAGTGATAAATTTCATTCTTCTGAAACTGAAATTATCCGGTTATTGCTTTTATGTTGAACAGGAGACCACCCAGGGCTGTGTGAAGTCGGCAAGTTTCTCAATCAAGGAAAATGTGGATGTAGAAGAGAGAAACTCCATGGACAACAACTACAAAATTCATCTAACACTCACTACTGTTATGGGAACAACAGATATCATGGTCGCTACCCGTAGGAAAAACTGCAAATTGAGGAGGAGTTGGAAAACCTATATGACATTGAAAATGAGACAAGAATAATTGTGAGAAAAGCATTGTCATCAAAACTTGGTTTCACTGGAATATCACAGCTTCACAAAGTTTTGTATCCTTTATATAAATTTGATATCACAAGGGACATGGTTTATGATGTTTATCACACTATTCCTCTAAATGTTGTTAAAAACCAACTGACCAGACTACTGGAACTTGAATTGGTGGACACAGAATACCTTGACAAGCAAATAAGAGATTTTCCTTGGAGCAAAGAGTTAAAGGATGGAAGACTTCCAAGACCAGTTGGCAAGGAATGCAAAGGGATTGGCCATTGGAAAGCAGAGGGGCTTCAGAAATTTTCTTTTCCCCTGACAAATTCTATATTTGAAGACAAATTTCAGGATGATGAAGAGTTTCAAATTCAAACCCTGGTGTCGCGACTGACAGAATTGCACTTTTACAGTGGCAGGCTGGGCTGGACTGATGAAATGATAAGTGTTCATTTCAAGATAGCACAGAGACTCAACATACTCTTTGAAGAAGTGCAAGGACTGCAGATGTGCACCATTTCTTTGCATAATTTGTTGCATATTTACGAATACATTATTAGTTTTTCCGCTTGTGACAATTATTGGTGCGCAGTGTTTGAAAGGGCTGTCAAACACTATGTTAAAAAGTCACACAACTGCAAAGGAATTGAACGAACCTTTGCAAGTTCAGAGGCACGAAGAGAGTTTCTGAAATCACTTTGCAGTATGGAAGTGGCACTGAGCTTGGGAAGCATGATGTTAAACTGGTGAGATTTTCAGTAATTGTATTGAATGAATTATAACATCTAATTTATTTTAATCCTGGAGTAGGGAATCAAATGGAATTTGGTTGCCTATGCCTGGTTTAATAACCCTGGACAAAACAATTCAGAATTAGGTTTAAAAAAACTGATCTTTAAACTAGATTACATTTGGTTTCTCTGAAAGGTAACCTATGATGTTTAAAGGCAGAGGTTGAGCAGAGTTCTTGAAAGTGATTGAAGAATACAGTAATAGTAAGGTTCTAAATTCTATTTCATGTCGAAGTTATTGCAGAAAGGGAACTTCTTTTTCTGTTCCAAAATAGTTGTATATATATATAGAAATGATAAAACCAACGACGAAACGAAGTTTCCGTGACTCGTAGTTCCATGCTTTTGCAATCATCAGACGGTGGATATTCTAATGAAAGACATACCTTATATACAAGATGCTAATTCTAAATGCCGCCACGAAAACAAATTCTACTTATTGAACTTTAAAACTTAGTTTTTAATCACTTTTCAGTCAGAAGTTGATTTTTTGAAACTTAGTTTTTAATCACTTTCCGTAGAATTACTTGTCAATAATTATAGAAATTAAGTTTCACACCGCGTAATTAAGTAGCATCTTGTATATAAGGTATGTCTTTCATTAGAATATCCACCGTCTGATGATTGCGAAAGCATGAAACTACGAGTCACGGAAACTTCGTTTCGTCGTTGATTTTATTATTTCTATATACGCTCTACTCCACGTATTGAGCACTATACAGCCAGCTAAAGCATCTCCTCCAGATATATATATATATATATATATATATATATATATATATATATATATAGATA